TTAATATTCACAATGTTTCCTAATAGCCAAAAATTGCACAATAGTTTTATAAATAAGCACGCCGTGGCTGTACTTTTGGCTGTTTCAGTATTATTGGGAATTTATTCGTGATTTCACATACGACGAGTGCGATGAGTAAGAACAGGTTACTATCGAAGCTTTTTCCATTTTCTTTTTTCCAAGGGAAACAGTGTCGATGGACAACGGTTAAAAAAAWTTTAATCGTTTCCAGGTTGATATGACGTATTATTATTTAGTGCGGCACTACACGGCGAAAATATCCAACTACCAGGCTGAACGTGCTTTGCGTAGGGATGTAACCGCGAAGGGTGTGTGAGTCGTGGCACATCAGCAGCAGCAGTGGCGACACGGTGGTGGAGATGAGAGGTGGCTTTTAATCAAATCACGATTCTCGTTCGTAATTTCCATATGAATATGGTCGTGCGCATAGACGTGACTGTTGTATTTGATGGTAGCACGATAAAACGATAAAATAACGAAACAAAAACAGCGGCATGAAAAAATAATATAATATTTTGTTTGATTTTTTGCTAGCATGTCTTTTAATATTTTTCCATTTTTGAAATGAAAAACAAATAGTTATTACGATTTAATGCCTCCGTTTGCATTCAAAAGTAATGAAATATTTACAAATTTATAAAAATTGGAAGTTTCCAAAACATTCATTAAACTAATTTAAAGTTTTAAACACAACATCTTCTATATTGTATCCATAACAGAAAAGTGTAATTAATTTCAAAATGGAAACTAAAATTATTACTTATAATTTATGTTTATACCTAGATACATCAAAAGTTTGTGAGGAATATTTTTGATCAAATGTATGTCAATTTTTCATTAAAGCAAAACTTAAGGATCTCACATAGTCACATCTCTTATCAAGTGTAATACAATTATTTTAGGAGGAACGGCAGCGATTGGGTTTAATATTTGAAAACCTTTATTTTATCTTAAAAACGCGCAGTCATTATATCGAGTGTTCTACAAACGAAATTGGAAAATCCACAATACTCATTGAAATAAAATAAAGTATATTCTATAGAGTAGTTRAAAGGCTAATAATGAATTTGGTTTCTAATTAATTAGTTTAATTAATTTGAATTTGTCATTCARTTAGTAAAATTTAATATATATTKACCAGCATAATAGCATGTACATATTACACAAATTTCAAAATTTTAGCTTTCAGCCACTRTACAAGATAATTTTTTCTTTCTATCAAAMATTTTTTTTTATAYACAGTGTGTTCACCGATTTAGGGMACACTGAATTTCTTGGCCRGATTTGTTTGGAATAAATCGATTTTTTTTASAAACTGATAGTATATGAACACACATTTTTAACTGTTAAATGGTTTAATTAAATWAATTACGTTTTAAATTTTTTCTATAGGTTTGAAATTTGAGAGCATATGTTCTTCTTAATAAATACYATGAGTGACTAAATAAACTAAAATAAAATAAAGAATAATAATATTATACCCATAATACAGATTTTCATGAATTCCATAATGATCTGAAATCTCATATTATCATATTTATGAAAGAAGCGAGCCAGTAGTTAACATCTAAGAYAAAAATTATGCTGAAATTTTTCGATAAAATATCAAAAAGTAAACGTAAATTAGTTTTTCCAATTCAATTATTTATTTTAATTTCAACGATTTTATTTAATTTTTTTAATTTTCATTGGTATTCACTATTTTCAGGAAATGAAAATAAATATTAAAAAAAAAAAAACGGATAATAGAAAGTAGACAAGGAACAGTGAAGTGGAGTAGACTGGAAATTGATTTTTAGTAGGACGCTAATGCGATTTCATCATACGCAGTTCTGCTGCTGTTGTTGTCTGAATGTATTACGAAAATGATTGGAGCAACCTGTCGAGAAAAACACGATATATTTTGATATTTTATAAGATAATTTAATCTTTTTTGTATGTGAGCGAAAAATCTCATGGTTTTAATACACAGATTGTACTAAAATTGGAGGTTTACGATTATATCTGTATAATACATTTTCTTATGCTTTCATTCAGTTTACATTAATGAAACGTTTCTTAACTATTTGTTTTGCACAATTTCCTGGTTATATAATAAATCATACAATATTGATCAAATAATGAAGTTATTTTTAATTTATTATTAAATATCCTATAGGTCTATAATAATTAMATAGTAGTAAAATATGTTTCATAAAACTATTGTTTATATTTTTGAATAAAAATAAATGTCTTAAGTATTTATATTGAAACAGGGTTTTTATCTGTTGAAATCCATTATTTAAATTTAGTTTCTGGTAGTTTTGATTTTGATAAGAAATATTTTTTTATTTATTCACCAACTCATGTAACTGCTATCCTACTAGATTTTAACGAAGAAAACATCAAAGCAATGTTCAATTTTTCTCATAACTTAAATTTAAGTAATAAATTGTAAACATCTGTAAATATTTTATTATGTTTTTCTTAACCTTTATTTTTCTCTGTTATAACTGTAGGCTAATAACCCAATATGTTAGACTTAGAATGTTTATTCTAATTATATATATATATATATATATATAATATTAGTACCTTACTGTAATAATTTCATGAATTTAATGTTGGAAATAATTGGACAAGCGACTACTACTTTGTTGTAAATTTATTGTCGCTTTGGTCACTGTAAAATATGTGTTAAATATTTGAATTTGTATCAATACACGACTTCGGGTTAAGACAATCTGTCAGCCTACGATAAATATAAGTGTATTTTTAAATATTATTGCTTTAAAAGTAATTTATTTTATTATTAGTAATACACAAGAATGACTAGTTTTTTCAAAATCATTTAATTTTCTATAAGGTCTTTAAAAGTTTCAACTACTGACGTATGATATTTTTAAATTACTAATGTGTTTGTATAATATACTTTGTCTCCAATCAGAAAGTAGAAAACACATTTTTATGTTTTGTTTAAACTTATTTCACCGTTTTCTTGGTATATACTTAAATCGGGGCACAAAAATATGAACCGCAATATTCTTTCGTGACATAAAATATAATAAATGGCTACCACTGTTTACCGCTATTACCGATTTTCTTTTTTTCTTCTAATTACAATGTCTACCAAAGCGATGGTCGAAACTAAACAACTTAATATAATGCATTATATATAAATATATTGTATAAAGTAATAATAGCATCGTTAATGTTTTTTGAAATTACCTATTTTAATGATCATAATAATATGACGTCGTTTTAATTCTATAACTAAATTATATTATACATCAATCGAATTTCAATTGATTGTGATAAAACTACCGTCGAATTTTATCAAAAATTTAAGACGACACCTATAGTATAATATCACCGCATCCAATAGAAATATATACTAGTTATCAGTCTAAATTATTTTAAACAATCAGTGAATTTAAATTCAATTGTGGTATAAAAATAAATTCTGTATTAATATGTATTAGTAAATAATTAGTATTATAGGTTTAAAATTTAAAATTTTATCATATGAGAATATACCAAAGTAGATAWCATCTATCTAACATCTACCATCTTAACGCTTTCCACTGTTATTAGAAATCGGTACGTGCGCTGAATACGTAGATATCAAAGTTGTTTAATATCTAAGAACGGTGTGTGTGGTGACTGGTGAATTYAACTTAATGTGATTATCAGTTAATAAATAGAACCATCGAAACCGTTTAGATAAGATCCAAATTTAATTTTTTTTTTCGAATTACATATTTTTGTGTGACATACTTAGGTATAAAAAATTAATATACCTATTATAATACCAATAATACAAAATATGCATTTAAAAAAATTCCTAAAAATCTATTCTTTTTCCACGACATAGTGGTTTGCGATACTAATTGGATTCTAGTTAAATTCGATTCAATTAAAATAGTGAACGTTTAAATATAACTTCTTATTATACACTATGTAAAATTTGCGTTACATAATATATTGTGAATTTTGAGTTCATATACATATATATATTATATATATATAAATTCCAATCGTCRAAACGTTGATAAATGATATAAAATATTTTTGGTCAAATATTTTAAATTAAATTATTTCATTTCAGTTTTCTGAATATAGGAATCATGAACGTGTATTTAAAAAAAAAATTCAAAGAACTAAATAATAATATGAAAAAAAACTCGATTTTTCATAAATATTTAATGGTATTGCATATAGGTACTATACATGTTTAATATTGTACGAAAAACAATTTTTTTTTTAAATTAAAATGTATACTATTTAAAAAAAAAAATCACTCTGTATGAACACAAGTCTAACTCATCATCTCCATCTTCATGAAAACTAACCACTTTACAATATATTTTGTCTGAACCATTAAAATGTATTATATCGACAGTGTAAAATTGTACAGTGCTAATTTGCGTATTATTTTATTGCAGTGAAAAGGAGCGCACGCGCTTAACTACTACTTAAGTACGATTTTCCGGTTGAATGGTGAAGATATAATATTCAGAGAGRGAAATAAATATTGAGAGCCAGTTGGGAGGGTTGAGTTGTTTTTGAGAAGGCAGAGAGTAGCAAACTAAATGCAAAATGAACAATTGGCACATAACTACATCTTCACCACCTCTGACGTTGAAGATTGTAGAGACTTGTCTCGAGACGTGCATACGTAYTCATAATAATATATTTTATAAATAAAGTATTACGTCTTGAATTGACGATTAACGCACATACACTCGTGGCGGCGGCTGTTCCACACGAAAACTTTATAAATTCGTATAAACTTTGCTGGAGTTCTTGGCGCGGGACCGCGGAACGACTGTGACGTATAGAAATTTATTATGATAATATAGGTAGATAACCATATTATTTGTATAAAATAAAACGCAACGTCGTTTCGAATGAACTTTTTATTGGATTAAAATATTATAGTAATAATAATAATAATACACAAAAAAACATGTCTATATATAACCATCTAACCATTATACTACGATAATAATATTATAATATATTATGATATACTAAACGTTGCGTGTTATTAGAAAATGCAATTTAATATTGTAATGGTTTTGTAGTAAATTGATGCRACTTGGTATTTTTTTTGATTTTTTTTTTTGTTAAAATTGAAATAAAAATAATAAAYCATATACATAAATATATCAATATTTATATACATGAATATTCGTTGCGCACGTGTGTTTTAATCGTATAGTCGATTGGGCGAAGAAGAAGATTGCCGTCGTTTTCGACTAGTGTGGCTTGACCACTTTACTGGCCGGTGGCGGTATCTTCGTGAATCCGGCAGAGTCGAACACAGGTAACAGGTCACGTATACGGTGACCACTTGTAGTCACAAGATCCATCAGACGGCTGAAAAACAATAATATTTACGGTACTTCAGTAATACAACAAAACGAAATATATGATATAAAATTGGTTTAGTTTTGTATAAACTCGTTGAATTTTAATAGGGCAGACAGATATAACATCATCAATGATTCATTTGTGTTAGACATTCGGACCATATATTTGTAATATAATTACTTCCATTACCCCTTAAGGTACGTATATAAATAAATGGTGTATGGATAGTTTTAATTCCCTATCCAATTATCATACAATAAAATACCTTTAAAATCAGAATTGTACTGTGGGTTTCGAAAAAATATATTGAGTGGTATGCTCGCAGGGAAAATCCAAAATTATTTGTTAAATGTTACATAAAAGGTAAATAAATCTATCAAACTATAATTATTAACTACCTAGAATAATTTATAAACGTTTGCAACAAAATTTAAACAAACACATTAGTTTCCAATATTATTTCTCTTATTTTTATCATTATGCTTCTAAAAAAAAACYCATCTCTCAAAACACAAAAGGGTAGAGACATTTCAATATTTAATTAAAAGGTATTACTAATGGGCGATTCTCTCGTCATTAATGAAGGTACTATGTTACATATATTATTTATTAATTTATCAGATTCACTGATTGTCATATCATTWATGTAAATATTATTTAATAACTTGTTAAAATAATAAAATAATATAAAATATCAGTATTTAGGCAAAAATTGTGTTAAAAATAAATAAAACATGAATAGTAACTTTCTTCTGCAAGGAGTGTTTCGTAGGTATGTATTTTAATAATTAATGATTTAATAATATGCAATATAAATTACATTTCCAAATCGATGCAAAGATGCAAAGAAGCTTACTTCCCAAAAAAGCGTTAGTTGAAAAAAAAATAAACTCTCTGAATCTGAATCTAAAAATTCGAACCATGTGAACAATGCGAACAAAGAGAACAATGTACGTACGCGCCAAAACTACGAACGGCAACCAATTCGTTTAGGTTTAATCTCACGGATTTATTACGGGGTACAACAAGTGATGGTATTCCACAGAAACGGGAAACTACTATTATATTATATTTATGAGAAGAACGCTCGCATGATTCGCATAATAATGTTGTGTGACATCTCTCAAAAAGTAATTTCAACAATACACGTACCTATGCGTATTGCGTATGCGTATATATTATTATCATGCATACATTGGTTATTATAATATTTTGATATGAATTTAAATTTTAGGTAATAGGTATACAATATACATACATTTATTATTTTGTGTAGAACGTAGGTACATGATACAGTAAAGCGTGACACTGGTAGTTTGTTCTGACGTTACAACGCATTACAATATTAAAGAAGTCGGCATCGGGATTATTATAATAATATAGTAATAAGAATAAGTAGGTAAAACTCACGAGGCTTGCCAACTCACTTCTCGAAGTGACCCTATCCGACCATCCTGCCGACCATTTCTTAAACCAATAACTATAATTTGCAAATATTGCATTTCGCATTTGTATCGTCTTCTATAACGTCCTCTATCAAGAAAATAAAAATCTACAACTGCAAATTTACAAGGCATAATTTAGACATATATAATTTAAAAACAATCCAATTACTCTCTAATAATATCATTCAGTGGAATCTGAATGGACTTTTCAAAAACCTCGATGATTTAAAATAGATTATTAATTTACACAARCCCATTGCTTTTTGTCTTCAGGAGGCCAATCTAAAATATAATGACTCCCCTCCTAAGCTAAATAACTATAAATACGTAACAAAAAACCATCAAATCTACCTCARAGCTAACGGGGGGAGTGTGCATATTTATTAAAAATAACCTTCCATGGGAGGAAATACCAATTGTCTCAAATCTGGAGGTCATAGCAGTAATCATAACTCTCGTATCTAAAACTGACATCTGTAATATATATATTTCCAGCCAAACTCGAAGWTTTGATGTCTATAATCAGACAATTACTTACCTATTTATTACAGTCGGGGATTTCAATACATACAACAGTCTATGGGGTTTTCACAAAACCAACCAAAGAGGAAGAATAGTCTAACAATTACCAATTCAAGAAAATAACTTAATACATCTAAATAATAACGATCAAACTAGAATTAATCCCGCCAACGGACATTTATCAGTGATTGACCTCTCCTTTTCAACTCCTATCATCGCCCAGAGAATACAATGGCAAGTACTGTCAGAAATTTACAACAGCGACCATAATCCTATCAAAATCTTATTTAACACACAACAAATCATTGACACACGAACAAGATAAGATTTAAAAAAGTCAGACTGGTCATTTTTTTCGATATACCTTTAAACCGTTATCAACGCTAATAACCCATTTGACAATAGTTCAAATACCGACGAGATCGTATCAGAATTCACAAAGTCCATCACGACTGAAAAATAATCGGATATTCAAACATAAAAATACTGGCCCCCTAGTAGGTACCTTGTTGGAATGAATACATCAAAAAATGCATAAAAAAAACCTGGCTCCCAAACTTTCTTAAAGACAAAATCAATAGCCGATCATATCAAGCTGAAAGAACTAAGAGCCAAAACCGGTTTTTTGGTCAAAAACAGCAAAAAAAATATCCTGGCAAAACTACAWAAACTCCATTAATGCAAAAACTGACCAGTCAATGATGTGGAACAAGATCCAATGTCTTCAAAGTCCTAAAAAATACAATATTATTAATTTGGTACATAACCAGGAGTTGATAACTGACGCACCCAGGACAAACACTCTATTACAAATATATAAATCACTAATCAGGTCTATCTAAATTAGATTTTGGTTCATACATAAAGGGAAACTCAGAAAAAACAATACACAATGCAGGTCTTCGAAAGACCATTGGAGCATATCGATCAAGTCCGATCCCAAACATGCTCGATCTGGCAGAAATCCCCCCTCTAGAAGTAAGAAGATTACAGATAGCCCTCAAATACGAGGCAAAGTTAGCATCGTCACCAAATCTTAACTTCACACTCAATTAACAAAAATTATCAACACTATTGAAGTATCACAATCTTAAGACATCCGATATACTCAAATCTCATTTCCCAACAACACCTCACTGGACTCATTAAATAGTTGCCATCACAAATTTATCAGAATTTAAAAAAGACTCCACAAATAGTAGAACTTATAAACAGCACTATTTTCAAATATTACATAATTTACCGGATGAAAAAATATACACTGATGCCCAAAAAGTCAAGTGGGAGTCGGAGCTTTGGTAATCTGGAACAACTTGAAGCGAATATATAGCGAATATATAAGCTTCCAAATGCTAGTTCAATTTTCACTGCAGAATAATTCGCAGTCTTCAAARGTATACGATTAGTCATAGACTCAAACATTACAAAAGCAACAATTTTTGCAGATTCCCTCGGTGCGATAAACAACATAATAAATACACACAACACTAACGATATCAACATACAGGAACAAAATTTGCTTCAACATGGAAAAGAAGGAGGAAACACAGTTCAACTGTGCTGGATACCTGGTCATTCGGGTATTATCGAAAATGAGATGGCCGATAAGGTATTCAAAGATGCAATAACTAACCCTACAGCAACAACAGTCCAACTCATAACCAAACATGATTTATAACCTATAATAATAAAACTGCATTGTACCAATATGTGACAGGCCAACTGGAATTCAGTACGCATTACACTCCACGAAATTAAACACGATGTGTTCACATGGCCTCATCCTTCAACCTTCCTAGAAAGTTTGAAGTTATACTCATTAAATTGCGGATCGGGCATACACAAATTWC